ATAAGAAAGTGTTAACTTTTTAATATAATCAAGAAGATAGTATTAATTTTTTAAGGTAATGAGAGATTAAGCAGTTGGTTTAATTAACCGGTATATTATTAAAAATGCTTGGAAATAGGAAAGAAAAATATCCACTTCAAAAATCAGTTTCAAACACAAAAGGGTAACAAACACACAAGCACTCTCTTCTACATTGCCTAACTGTTAAAAGAGGAAACTGTAATAATTACGAACCTGACACTTGTCTTAACTCTGACAGGAACCTGCTTACATGACTATTTTCTGCCTCCTGTCTCCCCTCTAAATAAAGTCTTCAGCCTTTATAAGTGCAAACAATGAACTAGGACCAAAAAAAATTCTGACAAACAAATTAAAATATAGTACCGTATTAAAATAGTTACCCTGTAAACTTACTCTCTTCTTTGAATCATAGAATGGTTTGGGTTGGAATGGACCTTAAAGATCATCTAGTTCCAACCCCCCTGCCATGAGCAGGGACACCTTCCACTAGATCAGGTTGCTCAAAGCCTCATCCAACCTGGCCACGAGCACTTCCAGGGAGGGGGCATCCACAACTTCTCTGGACAACCTGTTCCAGTGTCTCACCATCTCACCTACCATACTAAGCTTTAATGCCTATGAAATAATCTTCCTTGTACAAATTAGCTTGTATATCTAAATGAGGGATTACATCCTACAAATCACAAATCATCCTCTGTGTGTGAGAATGCATAAACTCATCTCCTTTTCATTACAGCATTTCCGAATCTTTGGTCACTGCCCTCTGTTTTCCATCTATTAATTAGATAAATGTTATGGCTTGCAAAAGTTATTCTGAACCTATTAAAACATAGACTGGAGCATACAAGTAGAGTAATAGGAAAAAGAAAAGAGTGTAAATAAGATTATCATGTCACTTGAGTTTCTGCCTAATCAGTTTGGTTGGCTTGGTACATGCTTTGCCAAGTACAAATTATCTTTCATGGGAAGCACAATAAAGCCCCTAACTCTAACACTATTCTGAATATTCCACAATGCTGCATATACCAAAAAAATCAAAGTCTTGACAGAGACTATAATGCACATAATACAATAAATTACTTGTTAAGGAGATTGAACTCATCTTAATTCATTGTGGTATAAATTACTTATTTTATGTAACAGCTAACTGCCAGAAGGCATTTAGTTGCCTTCTGCAACTGCATTTTTTTCATCCAGCTAGTGTGAAAGAGGCATTGATGATAGATTTGAAAATTGATAGATTCAATTAAGAGGAAAGTGAAAGGTTTAAAAAACAAACAAACCCACAAAAAAGCAACCTGCACACATGCAAACAGAAGATACACTCCATCAATTTTTATGCGTATGGAAATGTTTGAATAGTTTCTTACAACACGTTAGTTCAGCCCTTGACAGCTTTCACCTTTCATAACTAATATTTATGTGAAAGGTAACTCAAAAAAGCAATTAACCTTGCGTAATGTTACAGGGCTCATATTCTCTTCATAATCTATGTTTGAACAATTGCTCTAGCATATCAGACACAAACAAGCTGTCCTTCAACAACCTGTACAGACTCTGCCATGTTATATTCCCTTGCTTTGAAAAAAGGTGTGTAAATAAAAACCACAGCCAATAAGCCTAGCCTCCAATTCTCCATTGCTATTCAAGAAGCCATTCTATACAGTGATGCCATAAAGCACTTGGAGCTAAAACCAACTTTTTAAAATTAAAAAAACCCGAACAAACAAAACACCATCTATCTCAAATCTATACTGGTAAGAAACTGCACTGTGAAAAGAGTCCAGCATCTTCCACTGAACGCATACAAACCTCTAAACAAAATCACTGCATGGTTCCTTAAGTGGTTGCTTGCAGAGAGATTATTATCCGCATTACAAAGACAAAAGAGGTATAAAAGTTAAAACTAATGGCAAGAAGACAGAGCAAAGCATGACACTTGCAATGCATTTCTCAGTACTGTTGTTGACCATGAACAGGAAAATCTTGGCACTGAGACTTGTCACACTGACTCAAGAGTACACAGCAGCAGCAGTGTTGAGCAATATGAAAACATAACTAGTTTCAGATGTAAAGAATGTATTGATTAACCTAGTCCTAATAAATGTGAGTGACTGGCTGAGATGCATTATAGTCTTTCTTTAAAAATAGGGCAGACACATCTTCAAATGAAATAAATGGGGGGCTTTTTCCATTATCTCTTGATAATCTGATAACTTTCTTTCTAGACAGGGCATATAAAATACTTAAAACATATTTGCCCTTTGATAAGCATGCATAACTTATCTGTAAAAACAGAATATCAAATATTAAAAGAATACATTCTGACATAATCTCATATTTTAAATCTGTGCTGGTTTTGCATGACAAAACACTGCTAAGTATTTTAGGAATTCTGTTTTGCGTACGTTAGTATCCTAGAGATAATGAGTTTAACTCATTTAAGGAAACAAAACTATTTTAAATCCACAATCACAAAAACCTGAAGTTAGAGACAGAAAAAAACTCTAGTCCTCCTTGCTTACTTCTTTCTGTACAGTGTATTACTTAAAAGCCAGATAAAGTCTCAGATACTAATATGTGTGTGTACTTAGCCTTCCCCAATCAAGGGCTCCCATCTGGAGGTCAACTGGTCCAAACCCCTGATCAAAGCAGAGCCACCCTTCAGTTGAACCTATTTATATTAATACAAACAAATAAATACAAAGTTCTTAAAGTGGAGGCCCTCAAAAAGCCATCAGCAATTTTAGGTCTCTACATTTAAAGTAGCCTTCTTATTTACAGGAAAAATAATACACAAAAAGAACAGTAAATTATAGTCACAGCACTTTTACTTTTGACTACCAAATGCACTCTTTATATAATGTATGCTTCAATTCACTGATTTAAAGAGAGATTACAGAACAGCTCTACCTAAACTACTCTGAATTATCATGTTGACTCACAACTGAGAGCTCATATTGCCTTAAGGTTACTGCTCCTTAACAGTAAGTACTCATAAACTTATGCTGCTACATGTCTTTCTCTTTAGCTCCTTCATTCGCTCTTCAAAGTAGCTGCACCTCCAGGGAATTCCTCACCACTTTGTGAATATGGTAACAAGGAATAGAGTTTCATAAAAAAAAAAAGAATAAGTTTACTGGGGAACATGGAGCAGAACAGAAAAAATGAGAGGCATGAGGACTATGCAATAAGGAAATCTGTGCTGCAGTTACTGTATACTTCAGTATCTCCTAAAATAAAAGTGCAAGGGGGAGATTTCCAGGTGTGCCTGTGCATGAATTTAAGTAGATAATATATAGCTATGCATACATAAGCACCACATTGAATGAACTCCCTCCATACCTGCTCCTCCAACTGAGGGCAAGTCACTTACACAGGATTAAGAAAGAGATCATCAGAGAGCTAGAATATACGAGAGGTCCTTTTGTGCCAAAAATGAGTAAGGTACCAACTGAAACTCTGGAATAACCTTCTCCCCTCCACTCTTGCCTGTCTGCACTTTCAGGCAAGGCTACAAAGAGCCTTCACCAAAACAGAACAATGATGCTCTCAAAACATAACACAGACACACACAGTGATGAAGATAGCTGAGGGAGGGGATGACAAACAGATAAACGAGTTTTGAAATAGAAAATCACTTTTGGACAAGTCTCTGGATGAGGCCAAAGAACAATTGCCCTTTTGAAAGAAGACTGATAGAAGTCCCACCATAACATCCTAGATCTCATCAAACCTTCTTGCTAATATGATGGAAGCAAAAAAGCTGTGTTTCCTAACCATCTATCCACTTTGCATCAAGTTAAGGTCACACACACAAAAAATATCCCCTGGAAATGTAAAACATCTATAAGCTCCGTGAGGCATTTCATCATTGCTAGATGATTTATTACAGACACTTTTAAGTAAAAATTTATAAGATATGCACACAAACTAGAGGACAGCACCAACCATTTCAGAAAAACAGTAAAATCAGAATCATAAAACTTACAGTGAAAAGGTAAGAAAGCATTTGTTTATATCAAGAAAAATAAATTTCAAGTCAGCTACATTCAGCATGAACTTACTAAAAGGACAGGGAGGCTGAGCAAGAGTTGTCTGAGAAGAAGAGACACACAGGTGACCCACCAGACTCTTTTCACACAGCCTACAACTGGCTGCTAGCAATCCCATGTTGCAGAGCAGTACAGATCAGAGAAAGAGGTTGTTCCTCAGGAACAAGAAAGCACTTCCCCTCCTTGTGGATTCCAAGAGTTGCCACGCTGATTAAAAAGTTTGTGTTTACAGAATAATTACTACAATAAAGGCAGTTCCTTTTTTGGACCTATGACCCAAAATCTAATAATGATAACATCTTTGGAATCTACAGATTGTGGCCTCTCTATCAATGAGCCTATAGTAAAAAGGCATCATCACCTTAATAATGATTAAAACCATCTAGCTACTTTAGTTGACACAAAGCATTGCTCAAATCTCCTTAGTCCTAACTCTCCCCTTCTCTCTTTCACAACTGTTTAAAACATTCTTTCAATGCAACAGTAGAAAATATATAAAATATATAAAAATACATTTCCAAGTTGTATAGCAAGTATGTAAACGTGTTTTAAACATTTTGGCAGTCAAGGAGTGGCATTTGCTGCTGAATAGAAAAAAAAAAAATCCATCAGTTGCAAGAGGAAAAGTGAGTTTGGAAAAAAGAAAAAAGAAAAAAGAAAGAATAGAGAAAAGAAAGAGATACATAATTAGAGATGGAAGCACCAGTGTTTTCCAAACAGAATGTCTGCAATTTATCACCTATATTTTTATTAAAAAAGCATCCACCAAGATAGACCTTTTTTTTTTTTTTTTAAGATAGCTGATGAAAGTTGTGTATCTCATACGTTATCATAAATACATAATGCACTAGCAAAATCCAGCAACTCATTCTGGTGTCTACATTATTTAATGACAGCCACACAACATGACACTGATGAACTAACCTGCAGACACGGGCAGGAAAATACAGGTTCTGCCAGGACCGACAGAGGTATTTAGAGTGATCAATAACCCGAATCCAGTCTAACTCATCCATGGACACCTCAATGTAGTAGGAGTAAGACCTATGGATTGTCAAAAAACACTGGTCAGAATACAAGCATCCACATCTCAGGTATTAAATTTTACACTTCCTTCTGGATTTTCAGTTGTACTGAAAAGAAAGCTATTGGTTCCTACCCCCAGACCTGTATCTAAGATATCCAAGAGAGATCCCTATTTTCAGTCTAGTTTTGAAAATAAATTCACATGCAGTTATGTTAAGACATGTTTTCAGAATGATTTAAAACATCCTAAAACTGCACTCTAATCTGCAGTAATTGGATGAGACTATTGTCCCTCAAAAAATGCAATGGAGACTTTCAAATCAGTCATAGAAAAAATAATTTGTATTCCTTCTGTGTGGAATAAATCTGAAACACCAGCAATACAGTTATTTCTATTGCCATATTAATAAAAACATGAGAAAACATTTAGCAGATCAAAAATGAAAATTAAAATCCTTCACCTGAATAAAGCAAATTTACTTTATGATCATTTTCTCACTGATGTTCCTCCTCACTTCTGACCCTTTCAGTTGTTTATGATACGTTGTTAAGCCTGTCACTACTTACATATACACCCCAAAATTACTTCATGAAAATAAAAAAAGTCATCAACACAATTGGTGTCTTCCTCTTGCTTATCAATTATATTTAGCTTATAGTTTGCTGTTAGGAGAAAGCAAACCCAAACTAAAAAGCCACAGCTATTTCCATATTATACCTACAACAGTGATTACTTAGAATGAAGTAGAAACTCCACTTGTGGATCAGCAAATCATGAAACAGAAAATATTCTGAAACCTACTTCTCTTAATGTACTAGTCTGCAACATTCACAGGCATTTCAATAGCACCATGTTAGCACTTTCCTTCCTTTCACACTGATTTCTAAAGGAAGAGTTGCTCTTCCAGAGTTCTACATAGACATTTCTTTTTAAACATTAATACCTTTGTTAATTTTTTTTATTTATTTATTTATTTTTGCTGAGGATTAGACAGGTAGATATCTGGAGTGGTATTGTTTAAAAATTCTTAAAAAGTTAGATAACACTGTTAATACCAACTTATGCGCTATAGAAAGAATGCAAAGTCTTTAAGATGCCAATTGCATAATCAGCTTTCACATTCACATTAACCAGACGCATAATATTCATAATCCATACACACACACTGTTTTAGCAACATCATTATTACCAGCACATGCATATTTGACCAAACTAGGCTCCAGCATTTTAGAGTTTGAATTAAAAAGTTATTGACTGTCTGTTGTCTGTGTGGTGGCAATTTAGGGATTCTCACATCACCATTGCTAGTCTAACATAAAATTGTAACCAATATACAACATTTATTTGGTTTCTGAAGGTACCAAGCAAAGAAAAATTATCTCAAAATTACAGTTCCATTATCATATACAACACTATGCCTTTCTTTTCCTTAAGGATAGCATCTTTTTTGCAGAGGTAATTTGGACAGATAGCCTCCTGAGCACTTCTATATCTAAAATTAATCTGTTAATTACACCTTTAAACTAGAGGTGCAAAACACACCTGTTAGTCTGTATTTGGTTCCGTTAAGAATGCACATTACCTGTATAACCAACAGACCAGAGCTTCAGAGAGACAGTTAAAATGAATTAATAGTTTAAAAAGATGTTAAAAAAGATGCCACCATGCACTTCTGCAGTTGCTAAAACATCTTTTTTGGAGTCATTATTCACGTATCCCATGAGAAAGATGCAGATAAGTGGCTGGCAATTCTTAGACTAAAAGAGTATACAGGTTGGAAAGGATCTCTAGAAAAAGCGAGGACAATCTTAGAGTGAGTTCCGTAAGGTACTGGCTGGTAAGTTCTGTGTACCTCCAAGGACTGATAGCCATAATCTTTCTGGGTAAATCCTTCCCATGTTCAACTAACCCCGTTATGAATTCTTATCATAATATTTAATAGGAATTAATCTTGTTGCTTGTGTCCACTGCTCTTTGCCCTCTCAGCATACAGCTGTAAGGGGCGTCTGGCCCCATATTCTCTACACTCTTCTATTAAATAGGTGAATACCAGGATGTTCTCCCTTCTAAGTCTTCTCCTCTTAAAACAGCAACTTCCCTCAGCATCTCCTTGTACATTGTGCACTCAAGCACTCATCATCTTGGTGTCCTGCTAAACTCACTCCAGCATGTCACTATCTTCCACTGAGGAGCCCACAACTGGACAAAGTACTTCAAATCTTCCTTCTCCACTTATTTTTGTTGAGCTACGGGTGAAAAAACCCGACAATTCAGGTACTATATCTGATAGAAAGCAAAAGAAAGTCCAGTAGCAAACTTTTCACAGAAAAACAAAAAAGTCAGGAGGGCACACAAACTAGATCCTAAACCACTGTACCCCTAGAATTTTATAAAGGCAAAAAAACTCTAGAGTAGATGCCCATCTTGTCTGATATTCTGCCACCAACAATGGTTTGTTTTACAAAATTTCAGAGGAAGGGCATGGGACACCAAGCAACAGATAATCTTTTAGTAAGTTTTCCCATGGAGAAGGGTTCTTCCCTGGGTTTCATCAGCTGCCGATTGATGCCTTGCAGATGAGGAACATTTTACCAGTTACAAGCTCTCTAAAAATTGATAGAGAACTCATAATTAGTAGGTCACTAATACTTTTTCAAGTTTTACAAAACTGGTCGATAATTGGTTTATATATTTGATTGATCTTCTGGGACAAGTAGTATAATACTGTATGAAATAGTTCCTTGTACCTTCAGAGTTTGACTTTTCAATCTTTCCAAACAGAATACATGCATAAATTTCAGTTGAACTGAACCAGGAGAACTTACTTGAAACAATTAAATAGCTAAAAATTCATGCAGTTGGTTTTGAATTATTAATAACTGTAATTAATATTTTTAAAATAATTTGATTTACACAAAATAAAAATCAAAATCAATAAAACATTAGTACATCTCGTTCTAAAATAACACAGTTTACTTAAGAAAACAAAATGCAACTGTTTTGCAATTCTAAACTGTTAGTGTGGAAGTAAAATAAAATCAATCTTTCATCAGAAAAGTAATAATGTGCTAAAAGTTTAAATAGCTTGTTTTATTGTTTTTAATAGAAAATTGCTTATGAATACCTGCATGAGCTGTCTATTAAATTGTAAAAATCTTTGTCGTGGCAAGTTATAAAATTAAAATATTCAACTTGTCACAGAAAAAGTACCTTGCAATTTTCCTACTTCAGCAGTCACTCAATTGTTTAGATATGCATAATTTGATTTTTCATGCATTCCTTAATAATCTAAAGTAGCTGAGCATAAAGTGGCTAAGGCATCCATAATAGTTCATATTTCAGCAGTCTCACCATGAAGTGGCTCCTAATAACTACTGTAGTTAGTTGGTAATTCACATTCGCAATAAATTTTACTATTTCTGAATTATTGTCAAACTGTGTTATTTGTTAACAATTTTGATATACTGAAAAAATCTGAACAAACACTCCTTCGATGTTAGGAATGTAAATATGTAAAAGAAACAGTTTCTGCAAGAGAACTAGAATATTGCTTTTCAAACTGAAATAAAAGCAGTTGAAAAAGTACCAAATAGAAAACAATTAAAACAATTTATATTATGCAAACTTTCAAAAGTAATATACACTATTTAATGAAGACAAAAATATGTGGAAATATTATGAGATAGTTTTGTATCACAAAATATGGTCTAGTGTGTAAGCAACCGAAACTGTTTTTTTTCATACAAAACTTCTCACTGTCATCTCCAACACTGTATCATGCTGTTTCTATAAAATATTTAATGAATATTTCGCATTGATACATTACCACCAGTACAAAATGCATTACTTCCCTTTTAATGGCAACTTGGCACCTACCGACTATCTCTGTCCCAGAGGAGTATTCGTATGTGGTTGATTATTGATGGCTGGCCTAGTTTAATTTCAATTCCAGAACGGCAGTCGTCATCAATTGGGTGTCGAGAGAAGCCATGATCCAAGTCATAGTTCTGAGTATCCCCATCTAACAGAGCAGACTTCAGCTCCCCTTTTACAACCTGCGCTCCATACTTCATTGTTGCAATATTTTCCCCTGGTACTAAGAAGAAAAGGATGCAATTGCTTAATTTTTACACTCTCATACTGCAAATTAGATGTTCTGAACATCAACTCTATTAGGTCAGAACAAAGACAGCATTCTACCTCAGCCACAAACACATGCACAAGCAAAAAAAAAAAAAAAAAAAAGAAAAAGTTCAAAAAGAGAGGCATTTTGGAAATTTTGCTTATTCAATTCCATTTGATGTCCCCTAGGTCTTTTGTGGTAGTAATAAGTAGTGATCATTTACTAGTATGTAGTATCTGCATTCTCAGTCCCCTAAATGAATTCACAGAATTCTATTGCACCTTCCTCATACAATCATCACTTTCCTCTTGGTTTTAAAGTTTTGGCCTATTCAGACTCTTCTTGTGATCAACCTCTCACCTTGCCTCAAACAATTTTTTTGCCCTTTTTTTTCCTGATTTTTTGGTTCCAATTTCAACTGGGGATTTTTGCGGGGTTTTTTTTGTGGAAGAAAACTAAAACTCACATAAAACATCCAAGATGTGCACACATAATGAATTTGCAGAGCAGTACACATGGTACTATGCTCTAGCTCTGTAGCTATACAAGCTCTTCTGATAGCTACACAAGCTTCCAGTACTCTGCAAAGCTAAATGAACCTGAGTGAAATGGGAAACTGTTGTCTACTTGGGCTTTGAACCAACATGGCAAAGCAAGTGTTTTTATGCCACCATTTCACAGTAATAAGCCTGTTATATCCTAGGAACAATCTTTCCATCACAGTAACTGGGGATAATTACCTCTAACTCCAACTACAAAACAATACATTGATGAACCATCCTGTTAAAAAGACATTTTTAACAGTCTTGTTTGGACAGAGACCCCAGAAAATATAATTTGAAAACTAAATAATGAAAAGCTGCCCCTGAACTCTTCAGGCAAGCTGGCAAGAGAAGCATGAATTTCAACAGGATGTTAGAGTTTAACATCTAAAGAACGGAATTTGAAATGGTAAAATTTTAACTGTATTGGAATACTACTACATAAAAACATTTAATGCACAACTATGAAATTGCAAGTAGTCATCAGTGTTTCTACAAAAGGTCGCAAGAGCTTGAACTAGTAATAAAGCAACACAGAAATTCAATTTTCTAAAAAGCTGTGATTTTGACAAAACTAGAAATTTTGAGATTAGGAGGATATTATTATTGAGATATAAACATGCAGAAAAAGAGTCAGAGAACACCATTTAACTTCTTCAAATTTATCTACTGCACTGTCTACAGAATGTCTTGCATGATAAGACTTTTACAATACCCTAACAATAAATCATATGTTTAAATATTAGTATCTGTAACTTCTAAGGAAGAACAAAGAGCAGATGCAGTTCTAAGAAAGCAGTTATTTTCAGGGCTCATCATGCACGACTGACAGACTACAGCACAGGCTCTCAAACAACTAACTTTATTCTTTCCTGTGTGGCAAATACTCTCTGTAAGTCACACAAACTAACAATATCTTTCTAAAGCTCAGTGTTAGATATTCTTGTTGAATTAACAGAAAGCACAGACAAAAGCCAAACAAAAGGTTTCTCACACTTTTCAGGCTTCCATTAATACAATTTTGGAAGACCTGTTTATGCTATTTGGGCAAGTACGTAAAGATCAAGAGAAAAATCAGAAGTAGTGGAGAAAAGATGAAAGACTTCATGAAGTAGAAAACAAGTCCCCATCAACAACAAAACCATTTAAATATCATATATCCCATAGCCAATGCATTTTTATTTTTAATGTTTTTGCAATAGTTTTTCTATTAAAATAGCACTTTCTCTAGGAACATGCACTCTTACTACAACATTCATGTTTAAGCAATATCTGAGATACAAAGCAAGAAAACATACTAACTATTATTTGAGGAATAGAGATGGCAAGAACAGTACATAACAAGATATTTCATTATGCAAGCTTTTTAAAACACATAATAATAGATAAATACTCAAAGCACAAATTAACCACATCCTCCAGACAACTGTAGTCACTAAATGAAAAAACAAACAAACAAAAAGCCTGATGCTTACTTAACATGCCCCTGTAGTTGAGGTCCATGTCCCGACTCTCAGAACGAATCTTAATGGCATCTAGGATGGCATCAGGTGACAACAATCCAGAGGGTCTTACAACATTTAGTAGTTCTGTTAGACTCATTAGTGGTAAACGTACTGCTTGCATGATTTCAGCATGATTTTCCTTGGGGTTATGTTTACACCAATTCATCAAAGCTTGGAAAATGTCCTTCTCAGGAGCTGCAAATGAGTCCCTCAGTACAATACTTAGAAGAGCAGCCTAGAAAAGAAAAACAAAAAACCAATCCAAATATACAGATATATATATTTTTTTAAAAAAATGAAATTTAGACAAGGCAAAAATTAATGGGTATTTTAACTTGTAGTTATTAAAAATAATCTCCAAAGAAGTGACTACCTGAAACTGTAGCTGGTTTTAGTTACTTCTGCAAGAATTATGGAATCCATCATGTAAATAATAGGTAATATTACAAACCCACTAGGAGAAATAAGTCACAAGTGAGATGTGGAGAACTATTCAAATCCATTTAACTCCTGTAACTACTTCAAATTTACTTTGGAACATAAGAAGCGAATTGGGGATTTGGTAGTAAAGTTCAAAGCACTCCTTTAAACTTAGGCTGGTATAAGAACATGGATGGGAAAAACAAAGTGTGGCCGGGAATCATCCTTTTAAACCAGTTCTAAATATTTGGGATTCTGCCTCTGCTTTTGGTACCAATTTAGAATCAGTAGGTAAAAACCTCAGTGGCTCTTATTCATGCAGAAAACCCACTGACTTCAAAATGAGAACAAAAAGAATTTAATAGCTTTTTGATTTTCACTTAGCTAGCAGAATAACTAGGAGTTTGCTTCAGAAAAGGGTAAATCTCTCATATATACTAGGACTGGCTATGCCAAAGATGTCACAAAGTATGCGCTTCCTGATGAACAACATTTGCTAATTTATTTATTAATAATATGCTCTGAGAGCTCAGATTCAATAAACTGTGCATGACAGAGTACAGTAGAGAAAAAAACACAAACATTTTTTCCCCTACACAACTATTAAGTTAGTCAGCAAAGCAGCGTGTCTTCTACTTATTCAAGGAATAGACCCATCACAGCTATTCCATTAAAAACAATTTTTAAAAAACTCTATAATTAAACCATCATTCATTCAAGATGCTCTGCTGCTTCACGTGAACACCACTTGAAAACACTCTATCACTATTATGTCCAGCTGAAAGATCACTCCAAAGTGGAAAATTTCAACATCATAGAACAGCCTGATCTCGGGCACAAATATTTATGCATCTAACAACAAAACCAATACACAAAAAAACCCCAAACTATACAACACCACCATATTACACAATTTTAGAACATGATGACAACCAGAAATATGAATCACAGAAATCTCCAGAATGATTTAAGTTACACAGTAGAAAATCACCCATCACTGAGACAGCCTTTATCAAGAAATTAATAGGATGGAATATCTTCTGCTACCTTCAAATCTCTACTTTCAAATCCCTGAGCAGCATTCAGAAGCCAAATTATATTATTTCAAGAACAGATGAAAAAAAGACAAATTAAGATTAGACTGCCTGCTCCCACCTTTTAGAGCACATTAGATTTACTGTATTTAGCTATGCTGACTGCTCAGAATTAAACACCTAAAAAATTCAGAACAGATCACCAGGGTTTTCAGTTCAGCTTGGCTTGAATGTTTCCATCTGTTACAGTTTCACTAGTATAAAATGATACCTGTCAACTAATATATAAACTCATATTTGGTGCCTCCATTAGTATTTTATCATGAAGTTGTATACAGACCAAAATTAACACTGCTGGGGAAAAAAGTGGAAACAAAAGATGTACCTTAGAAAGCGACAGGAAGCCTTCGCTGGACAGCACCTCTTGGGCATTTCTATCCATGAACATACAGCACATACAAGTTAATTTGGGAAGGGAATAAAGACTGGCAACATCAAATGTCATACAGACATTCTGAATATTAAGTATTGTGCAAAGATACTCAGATGTGGAATCCTCCAGTTCTGGGAAACCATATTTATGTGCTAGGCTTAGGAAGTCTAGGAGAACCTCCTCTTTCTCATCTCGTAGTGTAGCACGACCAGTGTAAATGTATTTCAACAGCATGGTAAATGCTTCTGCAGTGGTGTCCTGAAGAGGAATTTCTGCTTCAGGCTGAGATTCTCTCATTCCGCCATACAATAATGCTCTACAAGGAAGATAAAAATTGAGAACTTTATATCCTGATAAAAAACAGGCAAAGAGTAAAAAGAGAAAGGAATAAGTGACTATTTACAGCAAGAGGAATACAAAGAATCTACAAATGAAAAACCTTTATACTTGGCATTGAAAGTGCAGCTCTGCTCTGAAAGCAGCTGCACAAGAGTAATATCCTAATGCACCACGTTTTTATCCTACACAATTGCTCCATCTCCACTTTGAATAACAGCTTGTGAAGCAGAAACTGAGATGTGATTCTCATACCTCTCTTTAAAAAAAAATTATAAAATAGTGTTATCAGTGAGAAAGAAAAAAATTATAAATTTTCAGAAAGCAAGTAAAACTGCTTGCTTTTCAGTGGTAGATTAGCAAATCTCAGGATTCTTGATCCTCTGTTCCTTACTCTAAACCCAACACATAGCAACTCCAATGAAATCCCGAATCTTGAGAAAAATCAAAGTACTCGCAATTATTTTTAAAAATATGATAGTGTGAACACAATTGGCATTCACACTTTAGTTATTAGCTTATCCCTCTGACAAATTCACTGGAAAAAGATTATCAGGAAGTTTTATTAATTACATTTAGAGTGAAAAATGCCCAGCTCTTAAAAAAGCTGGATTAGTATTATTTCTGGTTTTAAAAAATATATTCTAACCTTAATCAGCCAGACATCTTTAAATACTCAATTCCAACGTGTCAAAATTAAACTTTCTAACTGAGTATATTCCATAGAAGCACACCATCCATGCTCAGAAGTCAAAACAATTTTACAGCAGAACTTTTTTTGTTCTGAAGTTATCTTTCTCTTGAATTTGTGAAACTACCTTCAAAATCCAATTTAATGAAGGTCAAAAGAATAACATCATGACATGGTATTTATCTTTTTATATTTGGACACAACGATTTGATGTGCTGGGAAACATTCGCACAGAAAAGGTCACACTCAATGGACAGATGATTACACCCTGAAAAGTTCATAGAGAAACAATGTTTATCTTATCTGCATGAAAATTTCCTGTGAGCCTGACAAAGAGCTATACTTCACCTGAAATAATGGCACCTAGCAGCCAGGATCACTCTGTGTGCCGGAAAACGTTTCTTTTCTACAATAAAGGTAACGTCACTATATTCTTCCCCATTCATTAGAGCACCAATATGCTCTGACAGAATGTGAACGTGGTCAATCTCACCCACAGCTGTGTAAGGACGAAGTGGATGGCTGTTACTCATCTTGGTGGGATGGTGATATTGGTAGCCTAAAGGGAAAAAGAAAACAACCAGTACTAAAAAGGACGCAAATATTAAAAAATGGCAAAGATCAAGCTGTGATTATGAAAAAAGTTACTAATGTTAAGTTACCACATATGACAAGGAAAATGAAACCAAGAGGTTTTCTATTAAAGTTCATTTACAAAATTACTCAGTGCACTTTGCATCAACAATTTAGCCAACAGAAAATATTTCCAAGAATTTCATCACCTTGCTGTTCTGTCAATCCATTCATTTAAAATAAAAAAGCCTCCAACAAAAGGAATTAAAAATTTTAAAAAAAGAAAATACTCATCAGAAAGCAATTTTATCTGAATTAAAATGCATGTAAATTACAAAGAAATCAATAATTTGACCAATTAAGCACAGTTATAAATCCCAAGTCTCTAGTAAAATCAGTAACAAGTAGAAACATCAATGTTTTTGTAGAATTCCAATCAACTTTGCAGAAGTGGGAGGAAATAAAGAATTGGGATAACTTTTAATGAATAGCAGACAGTCTGTCAAAGAGCAAAGCTTTATAACATGCAATGCAATTTTCTTACTCTTTCCAGTCAGTTTTCTTGATGCCTTCTTGCTCCCTCATGTATCTAAGAAAATAAACCCCTTAATACCTCTTAGTCATAAAAGCAGCAGAATGTCCACTAATGTACAACACAGATTCATGCGTTAGTCATATCTTCTATGGATTTTTTTTGTTACTTCTTAATTCGAAAGAGGTTTTAGTTTTGTTGGTTTTGGTCTATTTCAGTGTCCTGGCTTTTAGCTGAAACAGAGCTGGGTTTCTTTTTAATAACTAGAATAGTGCTGTGTTTTGCTTTCAGCTGGGATTTGTTATGAGAGAAACACTGATTACCAGTGTTTGCATTTTTGTCGCTGGAAGTGAAGGACTTTGTGTTCTGTTAGTGCAAAATCTAAGGGGGTGAGGAATATTTAAATTAAAAAGCTAAACTGGCATTTGGATATGCCAATGGGATATTCCATATCATATCACGTCATGTCCAGTATATTAGTGAGGGGCTCTTCCTCTTTTGGCTCTCTCTGGCTTTCTCTCAGGCTCTCACTCTTCCAGGATTGAGGTTTTGGTTCAGGATTGTCACTCCTCTGGGATCGTTATCTGGGAACAGGCTGGGCTTGATCAGTGGATGGTGAGCCGTTGCACTGTGTATCACTCATTAGTATACTTTGTTACTGTTATCATTAGCATTACTATTTTAATATTAGTATTATTTTAAGTTTTATTTTATTTCTGTTATTAAACTGTTCTTATTTCAGCCTACAAGCCTCCTTATCCTTGCCCCCCAATCCTCTCCCCTATGCCCTGGGTGTGGGGGACAGTGGGTGAATGGCTGTGTTGGCTGCTAGCCAAGGGCTAGCCCAGTGAAATTATCACATTCAGAAACAGAGGCCTTCTGTAGTCTCAGCTGCAAAAGTATTCACAGGAGAATTTAAGTCTTAAATCAGCTTCGATTGTTACACTTCAGTTTACTTTTAAACAAAGAGAGGCTGGCTGTTTCAAAAAATAACCATCCATATTTTCAGAGACACCTTCTGTGCTCCAACAACTAGTCACTTTTCAAAATGGGCACATACTTGGTGGTGAAGAAAGATGGTGTATCACAAGAAACAGGAAAATGATGAGGCCATACCCTGCACACAGCTTACACATTCATCTTTCAAGTGAAATATTGATGACATTATTGATGACATTAATGACTTTTTAAGCTATAAGAAAATATGCATCTGCTTCCAGTCATTTCTACTCCAATAAAGTAAAGAAAACACATGCACATGGAGTTAAGTATTGTTTCCACTTCTGTAACATCTGGAAATGCTTAACCCAAAATCAAGATACTGTAGAAACACAGTCCCAAAGACCCTTAAACTAAACTAGGAAAAGTGACAGAAACAGAAAATAAGACTTGAGAAAAATACAGCATACTAAATTGATAGTACAGATCACAGCACAAATGGGGACAAAACCCCAGCCTTCCTCAAGCTGTCCCTGCTACTTGAATTAGAAACTGCGTGCCCATATAGCCATTACAGCATGGAACCAGCAATACTGGCAACCAGGCAAACCAACCATGGGAACACAGAATACTGCACAGTCACTCATCTATCCTGACACAAGAGTAAATTAATTTTTTGGTTTTTCATAATAACAGGCTGTTTCTTCCATTTGCACAGGTTAATTTACAATTAGCTAAGACAATTCTGCACTGAATACATTCATGTAAAACACAATTTGAATAATATTTACTGTGTAACAAGATTAACTTAACTCACATCAGTCCAGCTGCATCTATTTATACTAGCAAATAATATTTATCACAACATAATTATTTGAGTTTATAGACAACAGTAAAACTGAAATGCCCTCAAAATATAAAACATTTTATTACACCAAAGGAGTAAACGAAATTATTTGTTACTCAGCTGCAAGTTTCAACCCTCAATACTCCTTAAAGGACTTCTGTACCTTATAAGTCTGTAATTGCTGTTGCTGATCTTCATTCACAAGTCAGGCATCGCAACTATATTTTTATTACACCAAAGGAGTAAACGAAATTATGTATTTGTTACTCAGCTGCAAATTTCAACCCTCAATACTCCTTAAAGACTTATGTACCTTATAAGTCTGTAATTGCTGTTGTTAATCTTCATTCACAAGTCAGGCATCGCAACTACACGCAAGTTACATGCATGTTATCAAGCAACTCTGTACTCTCTCTCTTTTGCTAGTTCCAATTTTGATTGATTAGGGAAGTTCATTTAAGATACTTCATACATGTACAAGCACATTTTTGTTTTTAAATCTAGCTTTAATTCCATTTGTTCTACATTCTACTTCTGTTTCCTTCATCCACTCTTATCTCTAAAATAAGAACTAATACTGTCTGCATAAAACTGAGAGACTGTAAAAGTGGTAAAGACAAGGGAATGCCATCAGCTGCACACTAACTGCTTCCAGCAGCTGTGGATGTTGTCACATTCCAATAGAGTGAAAAGTTCAAGAGCAAATTGTTTCCATTTCAGGTTAAATAAATAAAAAAAAAAAATCAAAAGCACACGTCCCTCTCGAGGGTACATAAAACTCTCTCTAAACAAGAATCAGTGTATAGAAGAGGGTCAAGTCTGAAACAGGGACACTTGCTAATAAGCCAACAAGGCCAGTCCTTGTGAACATCAAGACCCTGAACTACAGCAAGCGATGAAAGTAGAAATTTAGAAATCCTTGTGTGTAAGCTGCAAGACAAATTTGATTCGATGTTTAACACTCTCCAAATTGCTGGTACAATGTACTCTTCTAAACTGTCAGTTTCAAACAGAAACATTGTGACCACTGGGAATACAGGACTCAAGCGATGGCTACAAGCCTCTGGCTGAGGAGCCTTTTAAACGCTTGAATGACATGAAGTGTTGGAAACTGGTGACTTTATGAAAACATGTATGTGCCTTATACACTTTCTACAGGTAATACTACTATATTGAAGAAGAGCTCAAACTCATTTATTTCTTTACTATTACGCATTTCCAATGCAAGTTTCATCTGTATTGTGAATTTTATATATAAAGCACACTGAGAGCAGTCCTGTCTTCAAAATACATGGAAGCGACTCCCTGAAAATTAGGGTTCTTTGCCATTCTGAACATGGCTTAAGGTCTTCACAGACTGGATTAATTAATGGTACAAATTCAGTCAACCCTTGAAGAGATCTGTGCATTTCTCGTTTGAGGAAGGAAAAAGTAATACACTGCTTTACTTGTGGCAAGTTTCTACGAGCTCACAACTTCCCTGTATAGCTAAACATATTTTTCCAGTTGCAACTCAACTCAAAGTATTATTTACTCTGCCAGGAGCTTGGCAAAACCTTCCTGAAGATCCCTCTGGCATCTTCTGTCATCAAACAACATTACCTCTTTAAGAGAATACAGGTGTTTACTCTTCCTGGTGTCAAACAATAACACTTAACCAACATCAGAATAAAAGACTAGGCCATTTACAAGCTTCTTGCCAGCACCATAACCTACTTCCAGGAGGTATTCAGAGCTAATAAACTGTTTCAGGAGTCAGCTGCTGCAGCTTCATTTGTGCCACAGAAATATAGGAAACAAAACAGTCTTTTCAGTGAGTTTGAGGCACCATCAAAACTGCAACAATCTCAAAAAGCATCTGTTAAGTCAGAAGGCCAACAAATCACTTCTGTCTAAGACCCCATCGGAACACAGGCTCCTTGGTGGCCCTCTTCAACAGTAAGCATGTGAAAAACGCGACCTACTATTTATTACATAAGGCAATATGCAGTATTACACAATGTGTGTCATGGCTAGAAAAATAACAACAAACCCTCAGTTTTCAGCTTGCTGTATTTCTTTTTAGTGAGTAATCTGCAACACGTTACAGCATACAAAAATGTGATCTAGAGAATGCAGAAACAGCAAAACTCCAATGACATCTTTACTAAACAACTCTCAAACCAGAGCTGCAATGAAGACCAGTACTCAGTCACTTCCCCCAACCCCACCTCTGAAAAGCAATGCTGTTTCAATAAAACATGGAAGAGTTGGTTTTATACCAGGCACAGAAAAAAGAATTTAAGAAATTGTTCATAAGTAATTTGGAAAACTTTTTATATGAAATGAGTGAAAAATATTTGCATAACTGATAACACCATTGAAACTTTAGAAATAATGCAAGTAAATAGACTATTGCTAGAATTAATTTATTAAATAAGTCTGGATTATAAACACTGAGCAAATAATTTCATATCCTTGACACACTTAATTCCTTCATCACCTAGTTTGTACCTATCAAGATAACACAGATTTTGTCAGAATTACACAAAGGCAATTTTCTTAAATGTAATGCTCTTACAGTGCTATTTTATCTAGAAACAGGAACTGATTCTCAGTTGATTGGAAAGGATTTGAGTAGTATTTCAATTTTTGTGATTTATTACTTCATAAAATACTTTGCTATACTTCAAATAAATGCCAGCAAAACATTATTTTAATTACAATTTCTATTACCATAGACTCACAGAAAATGGTAAGTGTGACAGTGAGGCTACTGTACAAACATACCATTGTTTCAAACCATATGGTTTGGTTTTTTAATGGGTATACATGACTTTTTATACAAAAATATTTTGTTCTCATAAGTTCTGGTACAATAAGCTAACATCTCAGGAAACAGGAATTTTTAGTAAATATTTCAACATACACAGAGTATAACTATATACTCTCTCTATATATTATTTATGTATAATATATTTCAACATACACAGAGTATAAGTTAAGTAAATACTTTGATTCTGTCAGAACCCTTGCTACAGAGGCTCGTTTCTACTTCTAAATAACAATAACAAAGTTGACCATGAGTGAAAATTTTAACAGAAAGAAAAAATACATGCTCTAATACTTAGTATCATAATAATAATAATAATGTAATCAATGCAGAATTTATAGCTATAAAATATGAAAGATGAAGTAAATTAAATTCACAGAACTTTCAAGCCTCATCTCCAACCTTAACCTGTTGTTAAAGGATTAAAAGAAAAACAGATGTTAACTCTGGTTAATGGTAAACAGCTACACCATTCAATAACAGCATCTAAACAACAACTTAGTACCAAAAGTATTTTGACTTAAAGCATACAGAAAAATATACACTGCTCATCTGGAAACACTTTCCCATTACTTAAGTGCTGTAGTGCTCAGAGACATATTCCTCTAATCGAAGAGCAGGAATAAGTTTAGCTAGGTACGAAGAACAATATACTAAGTTCATATTATTTATTAACACACACGTAAAATAGGTATTAATGCACTCAATGCAACCTGGTTAAAAAGGTATACAACTAAACTCTTCAGTTAAAACCTCAAGAAAATACATTGGCCCACTCACCAGTAAAGCTGTCTGAAGATCTACAGTGGACACAGCCTGTAGGCAGATGACCAACTTCCTGAAAATTAGGGTTCTTCGCCATTCTGAACAGACAGATTGAACAGCAAGCTCATAGAAACACTATCCAGCAACATCCAGCTGCACAGCAACAACTGTACCATTGCCTGAAACAATGCATGAAATAAATACCATCAGAAACTGGGGGCACGTAGCCTATGGCAAAAGTGAGCAAGACACATATTTCTCAGTCAAAATTTTTGTGGAAATAAATTCTTAAAAAAATCCCTCCATTCTATGGGAAAACTTCTAATAACATTAGAATTTATTTTTTGAGCCATTATCATTAATTTTGACCATTCAATTTTTTTAACCATCAAAAAAGATGGTAACATACTGCCATTCACTTGTT